CTAAAAAAATGGCCTCGTTGTGCCTCTAGACAACAAAACAGCATGAAGAAACCATACAGGCACAGCTTGGTTCCAAATAACCATGTTTACCTAATATACACAAATATGCCAGGCCTAACTATATAAATATTGCTGTTCTGACTTATTTCTGGAAGTTTCTAAAACACATAACGTGGGGAGTAGAAAAGAACATTCGTTATTTATTTTCACTGTAGGAAAAGGCAGTAAGTCTCAAGTATAAATATATTAGCAATGTAATAGGGAAAGATGACAGGAGTATCTGTGGAGCATTTTATACCCACTCATGTAGTGAAGAACATGCAATGGAAAAATTCATCTGAGGGCTGCATCTTGAATTTTATAGAGGCGTTTTGATTTATCTATTAAATGTTTTCTGTGGTGTTTAATTTTAATTGACTCTGCCATGTTTTTATTCTTTTTTTCTATTATAAGGTATTCAAGAGATTCTCAGGGTGACATGAAACACTTTTAAGGGAACTATCAGTTATCTCCATTTTCTTATCACTTGGGCAGCTTTTTTCCAGCATTCAAAACTAGCGTTCGAGTTTTAAAGCTCCCTCCCCAGACTGCTGTCAAATGAAGTCTATTGACAGGGAGGTTTTGCTCTGGAGACCTAATGTAGTAGCTGAATGCATCAGAAATTGCAAATGATGCAAAATGTCTCAAAAAAAAAAAACTTCCTAACAAGAACTCAGGAAATTCCCTGACCAGAAATGTGACTGACTTTAATAAATGACATATGCAATATTCAAATGTAACAAAAGATAATTTCAGTGTGATTCCAGGGGAGCCCATGGCAGATGAATCTCAGCCCGTGGCACATGCACCTAGTAATGCCCAGTGTGCCTGTGTCAAGGGCGCAGGTCTGAGATGGCGAGTTCTTTCCTGCCAACCTGGCAGATGATGGGATTCAAGACTGTAAGAGGCTCCCACTACCTGTTAGTCAAGTCTTGACTTGAATTGTTCTGTTGGTGGTCTCCATGAGGATTCTTATGACACAGAGCCACAGCAGTCATTCCTCTGCCACAACCACCAATCCAAGGATTTTCTCCATTTTCAGTTTCTAGGAAAAACAAGGAGTTTATAAGGCCCAACTCACCTCTCAACTAGTGCAGAGATCAGTGCTGAGACCTAGCAAATACAGCTTCCATGAGATGCTGAGGCAGCCAAAAATTATTAGCGTTCATTTCCATCTGTGCCAATTTCTGGGATGAGGGTGACAACTGGACCGATAGCTTCATCTCCTGCCTCTCATCCATCTCAATGCTCTGCAATAGGAGCTGCCCCAAGGCGTAAAACACAAGAGTCCCAGGATAAACTGGCTAAACTGTGGTACATCTCACCCTGTAAAACTAATCACCACCATTAGAAACAGGACGAAGAACAAGAGGTGCAAGGAAAAGACACTGGAGGGGAAAAAAGAGGATTTATGAAAAGTGTGAAATGGGAGCACTGTTTATAGTTTAATTTTAATTTATTTCATTTTTCAAAAATACTTCAAAGTCCTGCATTTTATTATTGTAAAAATACCACCCAAACATCTCCTCCCCTTTGTGACATCTGCTTGCTTCTAAAAGAGTTTGAAACAACATGATTTGTGGTTTGGCTTTTTGTTTTGTTTGTATTCGGTGGTTTTGGCCTTGTTTATTTGCAAGGATAGGGGTGGCTCCACTTCATTGTATTCTTATTCCTATTTGTCCACTCTATAAACTTTAATATCTTCCTCCAGTTTGGAAAAATCAGATTCTGACCAAATGACAGTCCCCTCCTTTTCCAAAAGACAGAAAATACTTAAAAATTCTGAAGCAGCAAAAGAAACTTGAAGAAAAGTTATAAAAAGAAGGAAAAATAAATCCTTACCATTTTTTTGCATTTTCTTCCACACCCAAATATAAAACTGCAAAATCTCCTTAAAAATCACTCTTTGAGAAGAGAAGTTTAAAATTTCAATGTAAAGTGTTTGTTTTGTAGCTACATTTTACACTCCTATAGAAAATAAATTATTTTGTGACTGCAAAACTCTTCACTCATAAGTGCATATTTTTAATTAAAAATAGTTTTCAACAGATATTTTGAGGCAAAAACAAAAGAAAATGGGTCTAATAAATCCAAAATATAATCAGGCTTAAGTGATCTACTGGAAGATTTGCTGAAGAAATTAATATACTTATTTAATATTCAGCAGTAAAAACCAATGAGAGAGCCCTTCCATGAGGAAACATGAAAAGGTTTCATCAGATAACTATTCAGTTAGGAGAAATAATGAATAAAGCAAGAAGGATTCTTCAGGGGAGTTAATGAAAAAAAGTCTGGTTTTCCACAAAAACAATCACTGTCCCTCTCAAATGACACCTTTCGACTGCCTCCTCATTTCAGTGCTCCGCTGTTAAGGTAGGGATTTTATGCTCCTCTGAATTCAGTTTCACCATGGGTCTAGTCCAACCACAGTGAAATTTAAGCTGAAGAATTCACTCTTTTCTCATTTGTTTGTTTTAATTGAACAATAAAAATTATCTCATCCAGCTGTGATAATGGGATGGCTCTGGATCTCTCCTACTTCTTAGACCTATCCTTTTATTTCTTTTCTAGAAGTCATAAATCCTTGATCACATGGGTCCAATTGCTTCAAAGCCACTACATTATAAATGTTGTTTTTCCACCAATTTCATTTAGCTGCTATGACTTTTTCCCAGAGTTCTGATCCTTATTCAAATTAAAAGCAAACAAACAAATAAACCCATCTTTTTATCCCTTTTCCTTGTCCAGATGCCTTGCGAAACAAAGGCAAATAACAGCTTTGATCTAGAGAAAGCGTGGATTTTCTTTCTTCTTTTACACAGGCAGAGGATATTTGTACAAGCGAAGGATCAGGGTCAGGACAGGCAGAGCTTGTGACTGAAGTTGTCTATCTTCAGGCCATGCAACTCTGCTGCAAGTTTCCTTAATGCCTGGGTAGTAATCCATGGCCTGACTTGGAGACACTGAGCTGAGAGAGAGAAGCCAATTAGGTTATAACCTGAAGCTGGTTCAAACAGAGGTCCCAAAGGTGAATGCCGGCTGCCTTATCCACTAAACTGCCTTGAATCGGCATGTGGATTAAACAGGAATGGGCTCTTTTTGTCAAAAATCAGAATTTCCCTAGCAATCTGAATGGTACAAAATACTGGGGGGGGAATACAATTACAAAAATTGTTTCCTATGCAGTAGAAAAGATACTTTAGGCAAACTTATCTTCTCTGCTGTACTCCTTTGGGTAGATTCTGTAAGATTATGCTAATTGCACCATTTCATTAGTAAATCTCCTGTTTTATTCAAAAGTGTATATGTAAACAAGAAGAGTAGTCAGGAAAAAAAACATACCAATGTGTTTGCATTTGTTGAAACGGACAAACCATGAATGAATGCTAGAACAGCATTTGGAATTTCCTCTACATTTCCCTATTTTCTTAGTACACTTGGCAGGGGATAAAAATAAACAAAAATTAGGACACGAGCACGGAACCTCAACTTCCATAAATTGGCACAACTCCATCCAACTCCATGGAGCTGCTTTGATTTATACTGATCGAAGAGCTGGCCTCAAGGTTTATAGGAGTAATGGGAATGGGAGAATTTCAGCAGTGGAGGAGAGAAGATCTGCTGCGGGGAGCTGCACATGCAGTGCGTGGCCGTGACTGCTTACACACTAATTAAACCAGTTTTTTATTTTGGTACTGGAAAGATGGTTAAAACCATCTGTTTCTTTTTAGAATAATCTACTAGCTAAGAAGGAAATGTGGTCAAGATTAGATCTAGGTGATAAATAGTTGTTTGGGGCTTTTTTCTTCTGCGGCTGAACATAAAGATCCAAGTAGTATTTGCGTCAGTTCTTAAGTACAGATGTAAAGGTTTATTGCGATGTGACAAATAAAATGATCTTGGGTTGATTTGCAATGCTTTGCTTCAACTAAAACAGTGATTTAATTTCTTTAGTATTTTATTAAAGCTTCCTTCTGTCTGCCTCTTTTAACCCTTATGATATGGAAGCATATAATGTATCTTGAAATAAATGTTGAAAGGAATATTCCCAATTTTTTTACTAAAACTAATTGGTGACTATGACCTCGTCTGAGGTCTTTTGTACATCAGGCAATCAACAGGCTGATGCCTCAGTGGAGTGCTCCAGCAAATTACCTGGCACAGCCGTTGCAGGGTAGCTGTGCTGGAGCACATCCCTGGAGTTGAATTAAAGGTTGTAAATTGCCTCCACAAATCCTTTCCCTCATAGTCACTTATTGTCCCACATAAGTAGCTATCATTTTAATTGACAGAGTGTTGTATGAGGGATACAAAATCATGAAAAATATGAAGTGCATCATACAGAGACAAAACACAGCTCCACTGAAATTATACCCTGTCAAGAGGGAAAATATTCTGGTTGGCTGAACATGAATCAAAGAATTTGGAGGACCAGAATGCTGGAATTACCTGGACTTGGAAAGTAAGTATAGAAAAGGACCCAGCTTGCTTATTTAGAAACATCTTTCTCTCTACTTATTACTTACTTTTCTTTTGTGTTGGTCACAAACAAAGGTGATAGTTTAAAAAGGGAAGAACTAAAATGTAAATAACAACTTCTGTTTGTGGAGTGGTGGATAGTCCAGAAGACAGATAACAGCCCGGAAGCATTCCCCTTGGGAAAACAGCTTGAACCCAGCCAGACTCTGAAGCAATGGCCATCCTTAGGCTGTTCAAGAGCCCAAGTACAGTGAGTCTGTGGGCCATGCTCTTCCCTCATAAGGGCATTTAAGTTGTTCACATGCTCTGCATTGGCCCTATAAACAAAGATGAATTTCACTCTCTGAACACATCCGTCATGTTAGGGCTCTGACACCAAGCATAATGGTGCTTAGCAGTCTTGGTACTGTGCACATGGAGATTTTTAGTACTATCTTTTCTCTTCTAAAACAAATAATTAAAAAAATAAATACATGCACATACCTGTAATCACAGTTCTGCCATCTTATGATGTAAAGCCACAAAGGGAACTTCCAGTTCCTGTATCATTCTTGTCTGTGTTTTCTGTTCCATGCTTTGTATTGCCCTATGAAACACATGCATCAATAAAATGAAGATTGGAGGTTATTTCCCCCCTCTTTAAAAAACATAAAAATAAAACATACTTGACCAAAAAGCTGCAAATTGTGACAAATAAAAATGCATTATCCCTCCTGAGTTCTATTTCATTTTACATCCTGATATCCCTTGCTGACAAGGGAGAAATATCTTACACCGCAGGTTCTAGTGGAAGTCAACAAAGCTATTCCTGTCTTAAAGAGCAAGGGTGGAAGAATCGACACCTTCATTTTTGTACTAGAAAGAGAGATTAAAAAAGTTTACATCCACTGTTGATTGATTTATTTATTTAATCCATCCACCGATGACACAAAAGCTTCTGCTTTAGCACTTTACTGTTGATGCTTGACTGAACTATAGAGCTTACTTTTTTTATACAACCCTGAAATCAGCTTCAACACTGAAACAAAGGCCATGACACTAGAGATTTTCAAGCAGATGGAATAAAATATATTGGGTTTGTGTGTATCAGTGCAGTAGGTGTTGAAAATATAAAAAACAGGACCATTGATCAAAATAATAGATAGAAGCATTTTTTAATCTGCAGAAGTCCATACATGTTTGTATCTTCAATTGTACGCACACATAGGAAGACGCGCAGAAGTGTGTCTCTATCTCCTGAAATACTTGGCATTCCATATATCTCTCGGCTTTTAGCTTGATTCCATTGACAGTTCAGCCAGAATACCATTTCCCCTTCCCTTGTGGCAAGCTACATGTTAAGCTTTATTTTTCGTTAACAGTGCTGTTGTGCTGTTTTCTGTCTTTTGTTTGGGACATGTTTTGTTTTGTTCTCAAAGCAGAAAAGTACAAGTTCTCAAATAGATTTTTACTGCCAAAAAAATCAAGAGTGTTTAAAGTACAGCCAACTTGATGACTTTCTTGATGGTTTTCTTGAAGGGGAGAGGGAGGTTTCTGCTGCTACCCCAAAAGCACTTGCAAGTGCGTTGACCAGCAGAAAAGTCAGTCTCAGGGTGAGGACCAAGAAGACTCCAACTCCCCTTGCCTCTCTCTGTGCTGCAAACCTGACGGCTCTTGACATCTATGATTTAATCATTAGGACACCGTGCTTTCCTGAGGAATGGCCTCAGCAGGAGGTCAGATTTCAAGGATAACACTTGCACTAACAGAATGGTGTAAAAGAGATTTATTGACTCGATACAGATATTTATTAAATATATTGTGAGGACCACAAATACATTTTCTGCCCTTGCATTCGAAGCACTTTAAAGGAAAACAGGTATCACTATATATAGATTACAGATGAGTAGACTGAGGCACAGCAAAAACAAACAATCCGGTGGTTCAAAATTAATAACTAGATCAGGAGCATAAGTTGCAGGGGAACACTAAACAACTGGCTGCAATGGCTTGTTTATTATGCTAAATACATTACCCTACCTCAGGACTGAGAAATGTTCCTGAAGGCAAGGCTTTTTGATGCAAAGCCTCCTAATATTACTCAACTTTGCACTGAACGCCCCGAGAAGTAAGAGTTAACTTTAATGAGAGCCCGTTTGTGTTTTAAAATGTCATATATGTAGCTTGATTAATGGAAATAGATTAGAAAGAAATATATTTTAATACAGAGAGCATACTTACCAGTGCACTATCAGAGCACAACTGACATGGGACGCAGTCTAAACAAAAGTCAGCAGCTACTAATGAGGCTTGTTAGTGATGCTAATCTATGTAAATGTTATTAATTGAGAACATCTATCTTTTATCTCCAACATTTGGTAATCAGGCAATTAAAAAACAATGACATTCCCGGCGGTTGTTCTCCCAGTTAAAAAAAAGTGATCAAAGAGTCCTGAATAAGGAAAGGGAAAGTCCCTTATCAAGAGCTGGGCCTTGCCTTGGGCTACCAGGCCTCATTAAAGGCAGAAAAGCTCTGTTGATCACCAATTAACCTGATTTGTAGGAACTCTGATAAAGACCTCAAACAACATGAGTTTTCTTAACTATAATAAATGACACAGTTTATTGACAAAAATAAAAACGTTTGGTTTGAAAAAGAGCATAAAGGACCTATTCAAATTGCATAGCCCTACCACACACCAGGTCTGAAAGACGTGGGATAGGTTTAACTTCACCACATTGGTGGCATATTATCAATGCCAGATACAGTCAAACCTATTAACAGCCATATACACAACAACCAAATATATACATATTTGGTAGCTGTCACATAAATTTCTGTCATCTCTAGTCATAACAGACAGCAGATTGCATTAATTATGTATGTACTATGCTCATGAATGGAAATTCAGCGCTCTAGGGTGAACTCCATCTCGAAACAAGAAAGTAGGGGAAAAAAAAGGGAAATTTTCTTGAGGCTTAATTGGTGGACATTTTGTGATTATACGTTGGGGTTTTTTTCTTCATCTTTAAGCAGTTGCTTTAAATTATCCCCAGTGTAAATTTCCATATGCCTTTTTAACCCATTCTTTCCGTTCTGGAGAATTTCATTCTGCCTCTCAGGTATTGTTCATTGTGTCACGACTCGTAGGTAAAGCACTGCAGTGTGACTGTCAACTATAATTGTAATTATTGCCAGCAGTTCATTAATTCACGTTGTGATGGCCTGTCCCTGTTTGTCTCTCTAGAGAAAGAGGGAATAACTAAATGTTGGGCCTAGAGTTGAGTGAAAAAGCAGCACAAATTTGGTATTGAACTCAAGCCTTCTCTGTATTTAAAGGTTAACTGGTTTCATTTTAGCACTACAGCTATTCCACCAAACCTATATATTGTGAATGTATCTGCTAAATTGTCTGCATACTGGGGATCTTGCCAGCATTAGCATGCCTTATCAAATGATACCCTGGGCTTACATTGCTTTATATGCAAAATTTTAAGTGTTCTTTAAGTCTTCAATAGAAGAATGCGTTTGGGACTAAATAAGAATAAACCCACCTTATTAGGCCTGTTGAGTAGCCGATGTCCATTATCCTTATGGGCCAGATCTGACTTTGATAAGAAACAGATTGGGTCATAAAGTGAAAAAATACCACTGTCACTTTTTCTGACATACCCATTTGACACATGCAGGACTGTATCACAGATTTATACATCAAAAATTCAGCTCTCTTTTCTTCCTTGTGATGGCTTCATCATTTCTATAAAAATAGTTTCCACTATAAAATAGCTTTTCCTCTTCACATCTGCCTTTTTTAATTCTCGGTTTGTGCCTATTCAATACAGAACTGAATTAATGAAGAAAATCATATGGGGAGGTCCAATGCCTTTAAATGAGCAATTTTTAAGAAACTTCAACTCTAATACACAAATTGATGCTATGTCACATTTAGCAGAGAACGCTGGGTATCAAAAGACATGTCTGAGAAGAAACAAAAAAGAGACATAGCAGTAAGGGTAGCATGAAGTGTCAACAACCCCTTTGAAGCTGAGACCCCTTTTTATTAAGATGATAAAATGAAAGATCAGCTGCTTAATGTTGGAGCATGTGAATATTTTGATCTCAGACATCATCTATGGCTTTACTTTTTTTTGCTTTTTTAACTAATGCATTACTGCCTCACACACACACACACAAAAAAAAAAGGTATTGGCTAGTGATACCATAGGTGAGCTTTTATCTTACCATATAGATCTGAGCGTGTTTTACAGCAAAGATAATTATCTCTAACCAGTGATTTTGGTTGGTCTTTGATTTAGCTGTTCAAGCAGATGCCACCATAGAGATTCTATTATGCACAAACAATTGTATTTCATTGGTGAGTGCCCTGCATGCCTACCTCATTATTAGAACCCAATTAATTTTTCTTTGTAATAAAATGGAAAGACTTAGAGCTAACAGGAAGGCTAATCTAAAGAAATTTGGACCAACCGCAAAGAGTACCTGGAAGAAGCATAAAGAAAGAAGAGCGGTAATTACGTGACACATGCACACATACAAAAAAGAACCAACATGAATTGAAGTTTCAGAAACAGGCCCAGGGAGCACAGATCGCAATCTGGCTAGATTGCAAAAGTACTACTAAGATGTCTTAATTATATGATTGATGTAAGCTTCAAAAGAAAGCTCAGTATTCACAATGGCTACAAGGTTATGAGTGTTATCTAATGTATAAGAAAACTACCACCGAAGGCAAACACTGCACATGAAACTTGAGATCTTTCTCTTCCAGAACCAATCAATAACGTCTTATTTTTAATCTATATTAAGTTTAAGAAAATGTGATGACATCTTTGATTGAAGATCACACAAATAATTATGCTAATAACAACTCGCTTTGTAGGATCTACAAGGACTGGATCTACAAGAACTGTCGTTTGAATTCCTGTGACACAGTATGTGAGGGGACCTGGTTCAATTACCTGATAGAAGCACACAGAGTATTTGTTTGAGACAAACTGGGAAAAGCACTGCTTGGGGACATTGATTAACACAGTCTAACACAGTTCTGATCACTTTAATCCAGTGGCTTAGCTCACCAGCAAATTATCTGTTTTCAAGATAGTGGGGTTAGCTGACACTGGGAATCTTATCTTGCCGAGAATTCCAATATTTCAAAATTTGTTTATCTCCAAATCAGACAAAAAGCCTTCCAGACTTCATGATTTTAGGAACTTCTTTTTCACCTTCATACTTGTTACTAGAATTTAATTTCCATTCGGTTTTATCATTACACCTGTTAAAATCAATGGAAAATAAATAAAGAAAACATAGATTTCATCAAAAGGAAACATTTTTATAATTTTGGGTTAAAAATTCAATTAAGACATCAATACAAACCTTTTTTCAGTCAAGCAAATCATTGTATTCCAGAAGGAAATTTCTTCATTTGAACATTTTAAACACAAGGTTGTTTCTGAGCCTGCTAAAAATTCACAGAAGATGACCAAATACTCAGCACTTCTCTGGTTATTGGTACCACTGTCAATAAACTGCTTTTCTGCCCTTCTTTTGGTGCTATTTGTTTTGGGGGCTATGAGGAAATGCTAGCTTTGCATATGAAGTGCCCTCACTTGTATACACCAAACAAAGTTTATTCTAAGGAACTAGCAAGTATTTCTTTGCGAGTAACCAAAATGATGGATAAAAATAGATGGACTTGAAATAGGTCTTTAGCCACAACAGACAGAAGAAGGAAATTTAAAGTTATGAAAGTACTATATTACAGTCTGTTTTTAATGCGAGCATCCACATAAACATCATCTTCTGAGAAGGGTTTGAGTCGTCCTCTACTACCTAATCTTTGTCTGGGCAGTAGGTGAAGCAGTTTTCTCCTCTACCTGTCCAATCTGCTTTATTATTGAAGGGTAACTCACTTGCTTGGAGATACCCAAATATAAACTTAACACCGTTGGCCCAATTCTATCTAAAAGTCTTTTTATGAATCCTGATTGACCGGGTCTGATGGCAATAGAGTGAGAGTTAATGCTACAAGAATTACACAGAAGAGGCAAAAATAAAAGCTCTACTGTGCAGACAGGAGGGGTGAAGGGTCCATTGAAAATCAGAGAGATTAGCAACTCATCACATTATATGTGGGTTATCAGGAGACAGAGGTAATGAAAGTGAGACCTATATCCTTGATCAATAAGAGTTTGACTGCATTTTGAGTTCATTTTCCCCTGCCGAGAGTGAGACAGCAAGCTTACTATTGATCACAGTGTTAATCCATAACTAGTCTGGGCCCTAGCCTAGTGGAACAAGGAGGAAAAATAAGATAATAAGCAGGAACTCTTGATCTTTTATTATGGTGTGCTAGATAAAGAGAGTGCAAGGTTCAAGGTGAAATACTTTATGGTTAACCCCTTCGTTGCTGCTTAACTCCAAGTGCATAAATGACAGTAAATTAACCAGGCCTCATTTTTTGATATATATTGACCTTGAATGCTGTTGACAAACCTTTTGCTAGGATACCCACATATTTGTACAGGTTACCACTCCACATCTCTTCGAAGCACAGGGGACAGAGGCACTCACGTGGCATCTGAGTAAGATGCAGGGGCCACATCCACATCTGGTAAAAGGCTGTGTCTTTACCCTGAAATAAGCAGGTATGAGTTGCTGTAGGAGAGATGAGAGGAGATGCATCCCTAAACCTCACCTTCAGCACTGCTGTTTGAAAACTGATCTTGCTGACCTTAAAAGGAGCAATAGTTTCTATTCCTTGTGTATTTATTCTAGCTTTTGTTACAAGCACGCCTAGATATTCTGTGGTCATAGCTTTTGGCTGTGGCTTTCTTTTCTTCCTCTGATGTTTTTAACTGACAACATGTGCAATTAAGACAACCTAATCTTTCCCATGGCAACAGCTGACTGATATCAGAGACAGCAACCGTTTTGAGGTGAGCAGCTGACGGGAAGTAGTGATGGCCAATTACCTTTTAATAAATCCTGGGAAAAGGAGGAAAATTAACATTGTTACTGCAAATGTGGCTTAAAACCATGAATATTCCATAAACTGTGGTTTCAGTGAAATTATAAAATAGCAGCATTCCCTTCCAGGCTAAGATGATCTCTGCTTCTTAATTAAAGTTTCCATAAAGCATTGGAAATACAAGTTTTAAGTTCCTTCCATTTGGAGGTGAGGAGCCCACCAAGAGCTTAGTAATTCAGGAAACATCTGCTCTGGCTCCTGTATTGGAGGAGCGATATTTGCATCTATACGTGCATTCATCCTTACTGCCTCATTGTGTGATCCTGTCACATCATCACCAGATGATGTTTTAGTATTGGCATTTCTAGTCTCAGTTAAAGTGACCCATACACCAGCACAGCAGTGGCATTCCCTGTGCTGTTGGGGATGTCTTAGAGATGCAACCGAGAACTAACAGCTTTACAAATACAATCTATGAGGAATGGTTTCATTTTATTTGTTTATTTATTAAAGAAAACTCCTCTTTATTCCTTGAAGTTTTGGGCCAAAAGTCATAGGTTTGGCCTGCCTAGATAAAAAATGTTTTTCTTCTGTAGTCTGCAGCAATGCTCATCATACGCAGTGAACTGAGAACACAGAAATGCTAGTACACATGGCACTGAAGGAATACTCTTACACATCCTATGACTTGGCCAAATCATAATTATACTCTGCCTTCTAATGCCCCATTGCTATTTTGATTTGGTAGTGTACTTTTCAGCTCGGCAAAGCTACAACTGGCTTACTTGGATAGCCTGTACTACTAATTTACAACCTCTATAGAGCTACCTCACAACTAGCTCCTTTTAGTTGTTAAATTATCCCTATGCATCATTTACATGTTGCATGAGTTGGCTGGGATAATTAATGCCTGTAAAGCACTCCGAGGGTTTTGGATGAAATGTACAGTAGAATTACAATGAATTACTCTGGTGATGATGATGATAAATAAATACTACAGCAAAAAACCTGACAACAGCTTTCATATGCTATTAAAAACACAAACCTGTAGCTGGAATGCTCTTTTCCACCTGTGAGTGCTCTGTAGTCTCAGATACTGAAACAGAGAGGAGATTAATCTTCAAGTGGTAGATAACCATTTATTCTTTAGTGTTCAGCATGTTTTACACAAGGGTGTGTAATGCAGCTACCCACTGTAACATAAATCAATTTATGGACAAAACAAGAGGAAGAAAAAGCAACATTGTTCTTTAGATTAATAACACAAAAAAATAATACAGAGAAAAGTGAATGATAAAAGTCCCAAGAAATGGTAGTTTGGAGGTTTTTTAATATCAAATTCCTAAAACATTGCTGTAGGCAGCACCCACAGGTTAAGCTGAGTGGTTCTTCCTACACAGTATAAAGAAGCAGAGACTCCTGCAGATCAAAAGCAAGCATCTCTTTGCAGTTTTAGGGGCTGTGTTTACTGGACTTTTCTCCTTTATATTATTTCAGTACTTCAATGCACGTTATTAGTTTTATATTCTGAAAACACAGCTTTGACTGCAAAGGCTCAAATGTTTGACGCCTTTAATTCAAGGTGTTGGTTTTCCCTGACAAGGAGGTTTCCCCAAACTCTCTCATCTCATTTTTGTCGTGCACTTGAAAGCAGTCATTAAGTTTGCAATGAAAGCAGGTGGTTAGTACAGAAGAAATTGTAAAGTGGACTGTTGCACAGGAGCTGCTTTTATAAGGCCATGATCTAGACTGGACACCGATGCCTCAATTTGCTTATGCAGGTATTTATATATGCACGTGAACAAGGCACAGATTTATGTGCTTTGAAAGACATCCCCTAAATCTTCATGGATTGTATGTTCTGACTACAGCCTCCATTTATGCACATGCCAATATTTAGTGCAATCAATGCACAAATAAATGTTATTGTCTTCATCTAACCAAGACAGCAACCTTCAAAAATACCACTCATGACAGCTATGTGTACAGAGATTCAAACATACAGATGAAGCAGTCTATTCATCTGCCATAACGTGTGCCAAACCAATAATGAAATGCAATGTAACATTTATAGTCAGATCAGAGCTTTGTGGTTTTACTCTCTTGAAAGTTCTCAGGCTGACATTTCTGCCCAAGGTGTCCCTGGGGAGGGCTACAGAGCCCTGCTAAATATTTGCAAATGAGTCTACTTCTTGTGCAAGCCTAATAGGGAAAGTTTTACCTTCAGACTGTGGGGTGAATGAATCTCCCAATTCATTAAGGAAGGAGAGGGACCACAATTCAGAGTCTGAAGAATGATTTTCCTCTTTTTGTCAGGAAGGTTTCACCTTGGGTTTCAGAGTGAGAATTTAGAGTCAGCCTCTGGAGACAGAAACAGCAAAGGTTTATTCAGTGTATTCAGTTCTGTATTTCATTAAATGAGGAAGAATATATAGGAAAGGGTGATATAGAAAGCCATTAGAAGAATAACTAAAGGAAGATGGACTCTAATTAGCTTATGATCTAGTTGTCACGTGTAGAAAACATCCAGAGTGGAGACTTAAACAACATCCCTCACGTCTACGGCTGATGCATTCTTACCTTTCAAGTCCAGTTGTTAGATAGGATGAGATAGGTCATTATCTGCCTCACAAAACACTTTTTTACATCAGAATTTAACAATTTTTTGGCTAATTTGTCAAGTTTGAATTTCCTTAATAACTTTTCCCAGGGGTTAATCTCAAAACTACGTCAGATTAAAGAAGGAAAATGGAACAATTTAATACATTTCAGCATGCTCAGGATTTTTAAAGTACCCCAACAGGAAATGGACTTTTCATTTTCCAAAAACCATTTTTTGTAACAATACATGGCAGCTCATTTTTGTCTGATGCTGTATTTTACATGGCTTTAATTCAAACACGCAAGATTGCTACATGTACTCAACGGAAAACACAGCAATCTCACAGCCTCACTTGCCACTTGTGAGCACTGTAATCTCAAAGCAGTGAGAGAATGAGCACGACCCCGCTCTTCAGCCAGGTTTAATGGAGACCTGTCATGTGGTGGATGATGTTTATTATGTTTTTATGGTTTGGAACTCTTTGGTGGCCTACACAAAATGCATTGCTCACAATTAGGTCCTCAGTCCATTTGGTAGAAGTCGATGCCTAGACACATTGGGGATAACTGGCATAAAAATTAATTCTCCTGTACACACTGCTAAAATGATAATGGGATATTTTACTGTAACATACACTGTAATCACACTAAGGAATACTGGCATGAGATATTACAAATAGAATTTCAGCCCCAGATTGTCAAAAACAACAATAATTTAAGTCATTATTTCATATTAATTATAGGTTACCTACCAATGTCTTTAATTTATTAATTAATGTTGTAATATGATTATGTACTTCGTAATTACAGTTGAAAAAGGTTAATTCATCAAGAAGGAAACAAGGTAAATAGAAATGTTATTAAAACTCCATATAAACATTGAATAAAACTTGAACTAAACATAAAGAAATGGTATGAAGGAATAAATGCCTATACATCTAAGTATATACACTCATATATCTATTGCAAGTTCATAAAATAGATGGATTCCTTATTGTTGTTTTTCTCTCATTATAAAGGAGACAACTGCAATTTTTATTTCTGTTTCGGGGGAATTTTAATCTAAAAAAATAATAATTTTCTGGTCTCTTGGAGGAAATTATTCCTTTTCACAGTATTTCAACCAAAGGAATTATTTCTAATTATGTTTAAATTATTATTGTGCTTTCATTTACATGGAGAATTGTTCTCATTGAGGACAAATATAAATTAAAAGTAGTTCTGTAATCACGTCAGTAACATTTTATAAACACAGTTTAAAGTCTTTCAAATGTAAGCAATCTTTTTTCTTTTACTCATAGATATTTTTCAAGATTTGGCAATTTGCTCTGTTATCAGCCCCAGAAGGTATATTTACCACTCTTGGCTGAATTTCCCAATACCTTAAGGCTTAGGAAACAACAATTACCTTCAGTAGGATTCACTGAGGTCTCATTCATGCTTGGTCTGGGCAAAGAGAACTCCTAGACCCTGAAAGCCTTCAGATCCCCCTTCTCCAAGCATACCTTATACCTGCCATCAGGTTTCTTACATCTCTACTTGCTACTGGATCTTACAGACTGTTTTATGCCTGAGTAACTTTGCTCAGCAGAGTATTTTTTCCTGAATTCCCTGCCGTTGCTCTTTTATTTAGCAGCTGACAGCTGCTGAAGTTCTTGGGAGTTCTTTGAGAAACATTGCCTCTCCCTACATGCTTGTGGAGAACCAAGCACATTTTGGGTTGGGATAGTCCCCTGAACCATGGTGAATGTGGCAAACAGCAGACAAAAATCATGCAATTGTAAGCCATGATGTTAAAACAGGTGTAGTGGGATCAGAAGCCATCCCTAGTGTTCATTACTGGCATATGCTATAATACTATCAAATTATTTCAGCAACCTGATGTGAGAATGGGGTGTGGGGCAGAAATTTGCAGATGGTAACAAGGGCAAAAAATGCCGAATGAATTTTAAATCTGTGCAGCGTAACATTTTAGCATCAAAGTGAGCATTTAGTACCAAATACCATTAATTAACATTTCCATGGGCTTTTTATTAAATGCTTGCTCAGCAAGTCAAGTGTCTTTCAAGCTCGGAACAGCTGTGAATGGATAAAAATATATTGACACAGATATATTCATGCATGCAAATAAATGTATTTCTTTCATTTGTTGTCAATGATTGTTATTATTTTATAGGTTTTTAACAAGTTCGAAACTAATCTGCATTATCAACCTGAACAGCAGAAAGGGGAGTCATACATTAATACCTGTCTACCTATTTGTAATCTCTCTGTAGCATCTGGTCTCAGCTAATCCTCTGTTTCCTAGTTGTTAGCTCTGAGGAAAGGACTATGAGCCCTAACTCAGACTTCACTTCCAGCAGCTCTTTTAAGGCTGCTCAGGTATTCATTTAATACTGTTTTCAATACAGAAAACGAGTCAGTCAATGCCAAACAAGAAGTAAAAAAAGGCATAAATTCGTTTAAAGTAATGCATTGCAACCAACAGTTCTGCAACTAAAAACAGTTCTTCCAGCTTAACCATTGTATAGCTTGCTAATGCCAGATCCAGTTAGCAGGTACCTGGTAGCTTTTGTTTCTACCCCATGTAGTAACTAAATTAATTTGTTTCCTAATAAAATATTTCAGGATGTTGAGAAAATACAGATAAGTAGACAGAATCCTTATTAGGATCATCAGTATTAACATAAAATCCTTTTGTGCTCATTAAAGAAAATACAGTCAATTTAATTAATGCACATTAATCCCCAGTTGACATTAAAATCAGCTAAAAAACAACACTCACTGATATAGATTATTAAAATGAGACAAAAAAAGAAGTGTACAAGGTGGCCCCTATAGGAAGAAAATCATTACTGAAGACCTAGGTTTCCTTTGTTTTTTTATGGAAAATGTAATCCAGCTGGAGCCACAGTTGCCTGCCCATTACTCTGAGGAATGTTTGCACCCACCAGTCATTTCCCTGTTGGAATTAGGAGCAGAAAGGCACTACAGAGATGGAAATCTGCCCCCTGCAATGGTGATGCGGCAAAGAGTCATTCTTACACTAGTCCTTGCTGGAAGGGGCAGATTCTGCACAGGATACTGGGCTGTATTATTTTCAGGACTATTGCTAAGCTTGACAAACTTCCTTTTGCCCCCTTTATCCATGCAGGCTTTTTGTACTTTTGTTGCCTTGGCTATGATTCAGCAGCATGTTAAGACACTGTATGATCTCTAAGTGGGTGAGTGATCCCTTCCCTGTAGGGCAAAGCCCTGAACCTCCCATTTTATTTTAGACACAAGATATCTCAATGAAGTCTATCAGATATCTCATGTGCCATCAATTAAGCAGGTGCTTAAGAGTAGTACTATAAAAATGCCCAAATGACTCAGGTGTGTCAGACTTATTTTCCAAAGCATTGTAGGTATCTAAATCTCATAAACCTTATATGTGTGTTCAAGTGCCTCCTATGCTTGTACGTGTGAGAGCACATCAAATGCACTTGCCCTGGGAACAATGCAGGTATTTGAGCCACACCTGATTAGGAGCTGTTTGCTGGCACAGGGCCCTGCTAGCGTGACAGTACCAACCATGGGACATGAGCTCTTGTTTGCACAGGGACCTCAAGCACTACGCTGGGCTCTGCAGGAAAGCGATGCCAAGATCAGGCTCCTCCAGGTGAATTTCCAGTCCATACTCCGGGATCTACACTGGAGCCTAGTATGGAGTGGGAATCAAGGGACCATTCAACATCCAGTTTCCTTCCTTCAAAGGCTTGAATAGTGTCAGGAGCTGAGAAGTTTCAGGGCTGGGATTTGCAGCAGCAATGCTTTAGGTGCCTGACTCCACAGGGGATCCCAGAGTTAGTAGGTTCACCCAAGAACTACATTTCCACCTCTGCTTCCCTCTGCCTGCTCTAGCCACTGATATACAGAGCCATACTCATTCTTGCTCATTTCCTCTGGCCCAATTCTTCTGCAAAGTGGAACTGTTTCGGGAGGAACTGATGAAAATGTGGCCCTTTTCTCTCCTTCAGATCCCAGCAGAGAGGGAGCAGGAGCTTATATCTTCTCAGACATTGAGCATAGATCACATCCCTGTATGGCTAGTCTAACTAACCCCTTCAGGGCTGGTAGAAGGGCAGGGAAATCACACCTTCCAGGAGGGAAAAGACAGCAGGTTAGTCCTTTTCCTTCAGCCGGTCCATTTTCTCCTTTAAGCCCCTGAGAACCCCCTCGATGAGAGCCTTTGGACAAGCACAAAGGCCTCATTTATGAAGGGCCCAGGGAAAAAGCAGAGAACACCAAGCTGTTCAGCGCTGCCAAGGGACAGAGAACCCTAGACCTGCCCAGAGGCAAATTCTAAGCATTTGTCAGGCATCAGGGACAAAAGCTGCAGTGCCTGCAAACTGGGTTTCTTTTGACCAGCAGCTGCTTAGGCATGTTGAGAAGCCACATTTTGGACATAGGTGTGTAAGTGCCTTTGTACACCTAGCCTAAGTTGCCTTTGAAAATTGGTTTTAGATGGCTCTGCAAATATTATCTTACTATTACTTTGTTGAATGCAGACCAAAATCATTTGCTTGTGGAAGGTGTATGTTGACGAGTGATTGATCTTCAGTGTGTAGCTTAGATTTCAACTGAAGATGGCAGAAATGTTTTCTGCAAGAAAAATGTCCTAAGTTCTCGTTTAAAATTCTTGTGTCTATAGCAAAAATCAATTCATTTTTATAGAATGTAGGATCAATAATATGTATCTGTGCTCCTGGACATGAGTATTTCTGAAATACCATTCAAGTCACGGCAGGTCTTATTTAAGTTAATGAGAGTTTTGCCATTGATTGTTTGGTTACGTTTCACTTTATATTTCTTCATTGGTACCTGGTGGTTTTGTTTTACACACATTTAAAGTCCAGAGTGATGTTTTTTTCCTTCTTCTCCAGGATTTCTGTCCTCTATTAAAACCCTGTGCCTCCCCTTCACTATTGATTACACTTACAGACTCTTATCTTCAGCTTATAACTTATTTTATTCACTATTTTTAAAGCCAAGATAAAACATGTAGAAGGAAAAATGGAATTGTGTGATTGCCCCATGAACGGTGAGGTTTTATTTTTAGAACATACCGAGTTGCTAACAAAAACAGAACTTTTTTCATGGCATGACATGCTCCAAACTCTGATAAGGTTTTGGGCTAATTAAATAAGAAGTGAGGTTTGTTAATGTATGGGATTTATGATAGATGTTAGCATGTCGAGGTTCTCCTTTTTGCTTCATATTTTAAAGTTTCCTTTCATGTGTGTGAAAAATGAGTAAAAGTGTCAAGTCTTATCACACCTGACCTTGCTTTTTGGCTAGCCTCTTTCCCTTATCTATCAAACACATTACTCTCCCCATCATAACGTGGTAGTGCAAACATCGCAGCTGGCCAGCAAACATGACCAAAGCTACCTTTAAACTACCTCTAGACTCTTTAAACTCAACTAAAAGGCTGATTAGGTTCCACCTCTTTGGTCATTATCTCATTTCGATAGCCACGCAATGAAAAAGCAATCTAGTAAAAAGCTGTCTCATAGGAAAACTAGTTTAAAGTGTGTGCTTGCTTAGGACGGTGTACTTAAAGAAAACAATTTATTCGTTCGTCAAAACCAACTGTGTAAACTAGTTTAGCTGTTTGCCGAGGTTTGGAATGAACAAACGTTGTTGTTTTCCTCCCAGCGCTCCCCGGGAGGGGCCGAGAGGGACCTGGAGGTACCGGTACCGGCCCTAGCCAAAGGCGAGCTCCGCTCCCAGCCTCACAGAGCACCGGCGGGGAGCCTGACCCCCTCCCTAGGCAGGTAGAACCCCATCGAGATAAGCGATGAGAAAACCCGACCGCGCTCCATCATCCCTCTTACTGATGGCAAAGGGGCTGCCCAAGAAGTGCATTAACCCCCCTCGCTGCTTGGTCCCTTCTCCCTACCCAGGAATTATCTTTTTTTTTTTTCCTCCTTTTCTAAACAAATTTTAAAGGAAGAGATTAGGAAGGGGAGGAGAGGCGGGGTGCGGGTGCAGGGTTGGGTGCGAGCCTGCAGCCGCTGGGGAAGGAAAACCACAAGCCTTTCTCGGGTGGTGTTTGCTCGGGTTTCTTTTGCAAGCGCGGCACAATGGCAACTATTCAGGAATCAGTCAATATGACCTGGCACTAACAAGCCCTAAAAACATATATGCTTCATTCTTACAGAGCCTAGGAATCATGTTTTTAAGTGGGATTTACTTTACTTTGTCAATAGAACAGGTAAATGCGGGAAGTCCCTGGTGCAGCGTAAAAGTGCGCACCGTACCCTCCTCCAAAAGAGGCGTTTGGACCATAAAATCACCTTTCCCGGCCAGCTGCAGCGATCTCACCGCAGGTGGTCCTAAATGACAAGATTCTTCCCAAGAAAAAAGAAGATGGAAAGGAGAAATGCCCTGGGAAATGCCGGGGCAAGCAAGCCGGCCTCCCTCGGGGGGTCTTCCCAGGGGTGCTGGGAGGGTGGGAAAGGAGAGGGGGTGTCCCAGCCACCAAGGGGTTAAGAGCCCTGCGATTGAAGCTGTTTTCACTGACACCCACCAGGAAAAATAAATAAATAAAAAAGAAAAAGGAAAAAAAAAAGCGAGAGAAAGAAAAAGAAAATACAAAAACAGAATTACTGATTAACGTGATCTGTCAATACGCCTTTGGCCCGCGGGACTGGAGCCGATCTATTACCTGGCACCTCCTCTGCCATCTCCCTCACCTTGCTAAGCCCCTGCACCTCTCGCCTGGCCCTGAGTCATGGGCAAACACTACCGGGTGCCAGGCTGCGCCCGGGCCACCGGCCCGGCCAGGCACCTCCCGGGGCTGGGCACACACCCCACCGGGCTCGGCCTCCACCGAGAGTAGGGGCTCAGGCTGGGTTTGGGGGCTCCTGCAGCGTTTGGCGAGTGAATACGTGAGCTGCCCCCTCCCAGGGCAAAGAGGAAAAGAGAGAAGAGAGCGGTCTGCGGGGAGTGAGGGCTTGCTCCGGGGCACAGCCCCGGGCAAAGAGGGGAAAATAAAAACAATAATAATAAATAATTGTTATTTTAAAGAGCAGTTGGAAAAAAAAAAAGTTATTTCCCGTAGCGAAAAAAAAAGAAAAAAAAACCACCACGAAAAAACAAAATTAATAATGGTACCTTAATTAAACCTGCCCCGAATGCGCGGCACTGGGGAGCAGCCCGGACCCGAACACCCACCGGGGCTGCCCAGGAAAGGACCAGCATCCCGCCGCTGGCAACAGCCACCGGGAACCAGCACTCCTTGCGCAAATGAATTCATCACAGAGCTTGTTAAACAATTTGCAGGGCGGGGATGGTGGTGGGGGGGGGGGTAAGGGGATTTTGGAGGGGTGTTTTGTTTTTAACTCCTCTCTTGGGGGCAAACAGCAGCTGGCAGCCAAAAGACTTTCTGAACTGTTTCATCTGGGGAAAGTGAGGAGAAAACTGGCGCCTGATTCCCCCCGCATTTTAAATATTCTTGACTATAATTGACCGCCGTTATTAAGCATTGGAGGTGGCTGCAGGTGCTGGACTTGGGCGCTTTGAGAATCTCCGAAAATGCTCATTTGCAGGAAGAACTTGTTAAAAATAAAGGGCTTGGATTAAACTAAGAGGCTAAAGGGGTTTGTTGGTGCGACCGTTCACACCGGGATCGTGTGAGCACTCCTCCACCTCTCCACGTATTTTTAGTTCAGAAAAGCCTAGTAGCTGCGCGGTACTAGTTCATAGAAACCTCCCGAAAACCTCGTCTGTGCTGTAGGACCTGCTGTGTTAAATTATGATCCAAAGGCTGTGGGGTGGGAACAATCAATCAGAATACCTGGGGTAGTGTGTAATGTGTGTGCTCTTGCCAGCGGGAGCAAGCGGCCCCTGAACACAGTCCCCCAGCAGGTTAAATAAATATGATACTATAGACAAACCGAGAGGATTACATGGCCGCATCAATCAGCTGTTGATAAAATACAATCTTCCTTTAATACACGCTGGGAAAGTTATTTAACACTTACAAAACCTGAATCCAGTGCTGTTTCTTTTAGTAAAAGGGGAGAAAAAAAAAATCTTTGAAAGTGGAACTCTTCTTAAAAGGCAAGGAGAGGTGACAGTTGCATTTTCCTGGGGGGATATAATAGAAAGCTTTTAATGAAGCCACAGACACTGTACAAAGTACGTGAGCCACGATGCTGGAAAAATACAGAAGCTGTTAAAAGAACAAGTCGGTGTAGAAGGAGCCGGGGCCGATTTCAGGCTGCGTATTAGGGTTTATTTCCTTTTCATTCAGGATTTCACAACCCGAGTGGCTGAAAGACTCCTGAGAACTGTTTCTTCTTGGCGTGCAATTAGGGACTAGCACCTCCAAGGAGGAAGCACCCGGGGCTCTTCCCTCCCAGTTCGGCATTTATCGCTGGTGCTGGACAGTTAGAGTGGCTGAAGAGGCAGGGCAGACTTAGGTGTTTTAACGTTAATAGAGCTTGTCAGAGAAATAGTAATAAAAGATGAGATGTTCCTAAAAGAAATCAGTTCTCCCGGGTATTTCTCGAAACAAAATGCTGATGTCAGTAGCTGATGGCTGGGGTGTTTGGTTGGATTTCTTTGGGGGGTAGCCGGTAGGAATGAGTAGGGGCTATTGGGGTGCGAAGAGATTGCCCCGTCTCAGGTAAAGGAGAGTGGAAGAAGTTTTGCTTAGTGAGATAAAAAGGGCTGTCTCCCAAGTACGCTTTGGGATTCTAGCCCATTCGTTACCTTCCAGCTTCCCACACACTTAAATATGCACTTTTCTTTTTAATTACCATCACAGTGCCTTGTGCCACTGATGCCCTGGGCAGGCCCGGCTCTACCCTTCTCATGGTGCGGGCAGCGGTGCGGAGTTCAACGCCTCCTCCTGGGCACCAAGCCCTGCTCCCGCCTGCCCGGAGCGACTCCAGGCAGGGGAGAAGCCAGCCCCGAGCCAGGGGAGAGAAGGCATAAATCACCGGGCAGCCAAAACCTCTGAGGGGAAAGGCAAGAGGAAATTCTGACATGCTTTCCCTAACAAATGAAGATTAATGCCCACTGCGAAAAGGCAGCGCTTGGAAGTGGTGTTTATACAAGAAAAAGTACTGGAAATAGGGGAAAGAACGTGGGGGGGACTGGAATAGAGCCCGGGAGGGTGTCATTCCTGTGCTAATCCCAACCCAGGCGCTGATGAGCCGAAAAGGTGATCGACGCCCCATCCCTCCCCGCTGGGGACACCCGCGCTCCCGCCTCCGAGTGGGATGCTCCAAGCCCCGCGGGCGCCGTCGGGGCACACCGGGGTGGGAGGGAAGGGGAAGGGAAGCTCCAGGAAAGCGCGGCTCGGGACGCGGGCAGCCACGCGTGGACGCGGGGCACGGGATGGGGGTTCGGTCCGGTGCCCCCCGAGGTGAGGGGTGTCCCGCAGTCAGCTCTGGAGGGGCTGCGGGAGCCTCCGCTCCGCTAATCGGTTTGGAAAGTTGCTCTAAAGAGCTCTTTACCTGCAACAGACACCCTTAAGCACTCTCCAGGGGCTTGTTGGGCAGATGTAATGGCAAGGCCAGGGGGTCTTGTTTGGCTAGACGTAGGGACATTTGTCATGGCTGACCTGTGAACTTCAGCTTCTGAGCCCAGAACTGTAAGGAGAGGCTGGGGCTAATGTAATAAAGCGAGAGAGACAAGAGGAAAGGCCTATCTTGCCCCAGGGCCACCACATGTTCACTCCGTTTTACTGTCAGTGCTACATGGAAGCTGTGGCTTCATTTCATATTCCATTAATATTTACAGCGGCGATTGAATTTCCCATTACAAAGTTCACCATACACACACTGCTAATATGAAATATTAATAGTATTGTGCACATTATGAAAAATCTTACTGTTAAAAAAATATACAGATATGCTGGGCAATTTGCACTGGTAAATTCATTTACTGTGTCCACCTGGACCAGGGCACCCGCAAACAGGGTTACGCGGGGGGGCGGGGAGCATCCCCGGAGCTCGGGTGGCACCGCAGGAAGCAGCATGTTCCTCGCAAAGCGACCTCCATCCATGGACATGAGCCGTTTGGTTTGGAAGGGTCACGTTTTCCATCTGGTCTGGGGCATCCTGAGGACGGGAGATGCCCAAAGCGGCTTTCCCCGCAAAGGGATGGGGCCAGGGTAGGGGGGATCAGGTGGGTCCGATGGGGACAGAGGGGTTGTAGCTGTTTTGGCTGCTTCCCCCAGCTCGATTTTGATGCACAAGCAAAACCTGTGGGTCTAAAAGAGGAGTAATCGGGAGCTAACTTACTTCACAGACTTCAGTTCTCAGCTGCTGCTCAGGGCGGTCAGGGAAATCTTCTCTCCTGTGAAAGGAAAATTGGCCACGAGAGTCCCAAAAGTGCCACGAGGATCAAATGAAATGAAAGTAAACCGATAAAAGTATTGAATTTAACCGGTGCAAACCTAGACCCTCTGACGCAGTACTTACTGTGCTTCATTTGGGAGAGTTGCCCGGGATTATTCTGCTCCATTATTTTTATTGTATTTTTACAATTCTGAATGCAAACAGCCCTTCCTTTCGATGCACGCAAATCTGCACATTCTTGGGAAAACAGGAATTTACCATTTATGTGTGAGCAAAGTGCAGGGAGAGGAAGAAGGGAAGTTTGGGGAGCAGCGGGGGTGCAGCACCGGCTGGGATGGCCCATGGCTCGCTATGCAAGTCCCCGCAGGTATTTAATATATTAGGAACAAAGTTGGACTTCTATACTATTTTTTCCCCAGGGAGAAATCTTTAATTACTCTGGTGCCGCTCTGCAACCCAGATTCCTTTTTAAACCCCCTCTTGTTTTCCATCAGGAGCTGGATTGTATTGATCTGCAGGGGTATTTACTTTCTGCTGATTGCAGTAAGTAAAAGCCGCTGGAGAGTCACTCTCTTCACCTTGGATCTTCGGTGAAGGTTGTGTTTGAACTTCTCTGGGAGCGTTTCACCTCCCTGCTCTGCCAGATTGAACAGTTTTCTCTAGGTCTGGGCCCTGGCTAAGTTGTGCCTAGGGTTGATTTTTTTCCCCTGGCATATTTTGGCCATGGGGAGAAATCAAAACCAGAGGTAGCCAGAGGGCAGCCAGAGGTGCTACAGATGTGGGTAGAGCTCTATCTGTTAGCCAGCAGATCGTGGTGGCTCCTCTGTTTTCCCAAAGCTTCCCCCACGCACTAGGAATAGAAGCTATTTATGACTCTTAATAGATCTGGATTAAGGTAATTTAGGAATCCTGAGGGTCGCCGTTCAGCTCAGGATGATGACAGGCTCTAGGAGGTATGGATGGGTGACATTTCCACCATGAGATCTGTCCTTCCCCCTGGCCCTCTCCCCCTTGAGCTCCCCCCTTCCAGCCCTAAATGTGTCATGCTTTGTCACATCCTCTGCGTGTGTGTTTTTAGAGAACATTTGAATAAAAGGCTTGATGCCAGGTATTGGTGACACAGTGGGTGGAATTTGCAGCCTTTCCACAAAGAGTTGGAAGCCTCCATTTGCATAAGGTCAGGGTACAGCTTCTCACAGAACTTTAGCAGCATCTCTGTCTCTTAGCAACACTCTTGCACTCTTGGTCCCTGCATTAAATTGACTGGTCCTTTCCTTTTCTTCCTTTCATAAGGAGGCTTACAATAAAATGTCACCCTTCCAACCTGTGCCTGTCACCCAGTAGGTCATCTGTTTCTCTTACACCTCCTTCCCCCCCCCCCCCCCCCACTTCATCTCCAATTAGGGGATGAGATTATTCATTTGGTGGATTCCCAAAACTGCTTCATTTTTTATTTTGTTAATTAATATTAATAACATTTCTCCCTTTGTATTAATAAAAAGGAGCCCTCATAAACAGTGAGGAGATAAGGAGCAAATTGCAGGCACCTGCAAAACAATGGGATTGGAGAGGGGTAATAAGGCGAGTGGAGATAGAGAGAGCAAGGTTTAGGTCATCCTCTCCACCCATTTAGTTGATGCAGGGTTGAACTCAGCATGGAAGCCTTCAATGTGCTCAGAATATTAGAGTCACCCCTCTTGGCTCCGGCATGGGAATTGGTGACAGAATACAGATGCTGATAGGTGGTGTTAATGGAGGGTCAGGCTTGGACAATAGTATCCATCACTTGCCTCATGGCTCTGCTGTCAGATGGAGTCATTTCTGACTGCTCTATCACCAAGATTTGGGAGAGATTCAATTATTACCTTCAGC